TTAATTAACTCCATCACATGTCCCTCACCATCTAGCATTTTAACTGTTAGCTGGAGACAGTAATACTTGTTTTGCTTACAACAAGCTGGAGAAACAACTGCCAAGTTGATTAGTTCTAACCAGAACGTGAGGCAAGCAGAGAACTGGTTTGATGCTGCAGAGCAGAGCAAACTGTGGGGCAGGCCCCTCTAACAGGACTTTAAATCATTGCAAATTGGGTTTGGCTGACCAGGAACAGAGTGAAACTCAGTTGAATAGATGAATTTGTGGGGGTAAAATTTCAAAAGATTACAAATAGATTGTTAATGCTTTGGTGATCTTTCTTTTACTAAAATTGAACATTTTTATTTTTGATTGGCAAAATTTTTAGCTATTGGGTATGCTGGTTGGGTATCCCAGAAAAATGTTATCTGTAAAATCAGCACATTTACGTCAAAAATATTTGAAACGCTTATGTTTTTACCATTAAATTAAAAAATATAAATTTGTAATCCTAAAAAATGGTAAGACAAAATAACACATTTTGGATTATTTTGGGGTTAAGCTAAATGAAGCCACCAAAAAAGGAGGAGCTGGGGTGGAGGTGGGTTGGTTAAGGCTAAATTTTGTATTTTAAGTAGGCTATATTGGATATGTCAACGATTATCAGATGAGCCATCAGTTGACCTGGACTGCCATTTGATCAACATTAACATCAAATATAATATATAAAATACATAAATAAAAATCAAATCAAGTGGGAATTAGGGTTTGCCATATATACTTGTACATATGATAAACACGATGATTAAAAATGAAATATTGCTATCATATTTATATTTTTCCTTTGGGATGCATGTCGGTGTAAAACAGACGTAACAGGTGCTAAAAAAAATTCACTACTTGATTAGCCTGTAACACCCAACCCATCAAAAAATAGCCTGAAAATTCTTATTTTTTTGGAACTGAGATGTTTATTAACCCTTATAACAAAATTCACAAAAGCTTTATTGCTATATCATGTTGTTAATGATATATTTATTATATATTTTTTGTATCACATTTGATACATTGGGCGTCTTTGGCAAGTTTTTGTTAACAACAATGTTAATTTTAGACAAAAAAAAGAGTTTTGTACATAACATTTTGGAATTATGAAAAGCATCAATCATGTTGATGAGCTAGAGGTTTCAGAAACTCATGTATCAAATATGATGCAAAAGCATCATAGGGTTTATAATCAAGTGGAGAATATATAATATCATGATGTCCCTCCCCAGTGGTATTATAATCAAGGAAAAAAAAATATTTAACACGATTAATGTCTAGGAAAACTTCTCGCTCTATCAGTTATCTCGGTTCAGGGTTTTTCGGCTTTTCCACTGAGAAACATTAAACCTTAGAACATTTAAATGCCTCAATGCTCTCATTATTGTAGCGCTTACGTGAGTAATGGAGAATTTTAAATGTTTAACTGGGCTGCTGGAAAGCCGGAGAAATCAGGCCAAACCACCAACAAGGGATTGTTAGATGCCAGAAACAAATGACAGAAATTAAAATTTAATTCCTCCATAAAGTCGGGCTCTGTGATGATACACTTTCAATCGGCTGTAAACCTTCTGTCCTCCGATATACAAGCGTGATTGTGTCCATATACAAATACAGGCCTTACTCATAAACAACATCAGCCACCAGAATGAGACCTGAATTGTGAACTGTGGAGATCAAAGTGCTTAGCAAAAATATCCAACTTTCCCTAAAAGCACTAATGACTCTTTTAAACACCAGTGCGGTAAACACATCAATCATAAAAGGAGTGGTTATTAATTTAGTCCATTGCTGTGGTTTACACTGCACTGCTTTTGTAATATGTCAAGGCTATAAGTGGAAACGCAGGCCATTTATGATCTGATTTTTTTCCTGATTCATCACTCATTGCCATCACAAAACTTAAACAGTATCCTGTATCTCGACACCAGTTTAAAGCTGAATCGAAAGCACTTCCAAGGCCTCGCTGACATAAACAAACTGCTCCTCTGATGATGGATTCTGTTGAAATGACACACAGAGGGGGAAAAAAATGACAGAGAAGAAGAAAAAGTTCAGAAAAAGAAACAGTCAGCAGAAAAAAACAAACCGGAAAGAGATGGAGCTCAGAGGAGGTGTGCAGTGTTTTTTCTTTCCCTTTTTTTAGGCTGATATAAAGAGCCATCAGTCTTCAGCTCCAAATGTTCCCATCAAGTAAACATCAATAAATATGTATGAAGGGGGAGAGGGAGGCCAGGAGAAAGTGAGGGAAGCTGTTAGAAATCAAAGTGAGAGATGAGCTTTTATTACTAGTGAAACCATACTGGAAGAAGAAACTAAACCTTACAATACTGGTAGTAGAATCTAAAGACTCAAATCTGCAGAGGACAAACAGAAATCTGTAACTTACCCATCAAATATGCATCTGTCATTGGTGGCTTTGTCAACATCAAAGTCAACTCTGTTGTCATTACATCGATACTGATAATTTGCTTTTTTTTTTGAGGCAACGAGTTTCCATAATTTTTAAAAGTTAAAACCAACTATCAAATTTAACAGTGTTTGAATGTTGTTAGGGCAGTACAGCTGTTGCACCAGATGGTGGATTTAAAACAGGGACCTTCTTGCTGTGAGGTGCAATGATCAGCACTGTGTTGTCTCCCAACAAGAAGGTCCCGGGTTAAATTCCAACATCTGGCCAGAGGTGTTCTGTGTGTTTAGGTTGTTTCCAGGTACTTCGGCTCCTCTCCGTAGACCAAAGATATGCAGTTAGTGGAGTTAAACTATGATTCTAAATAGAGGTGTGAATGTCAGTATGAATGGCTGTCTGTTTCTCTGTGTTGGCTCTGTAGGTTGTACCCCAACTCATGGTCTATGATAGCTGGGATAGGCTCCAGTCTCCCTGCAACCCTGAATTGAATAAGTGGACAAAAATGGATGGATGCTGTTAAACTTCATTTCAGAAGCTAACATTTTAATCAAATCGGTCTTTAATTGAACATTTTATTCTTCCCTACAACTTACCTTAACCCTACAACACTAACATGAGTTTTGTAACACTATCACTTTCAGCCATTAGTGTTCTACGTTTAATCTTGGATATTTGATGTCAATGAAAAATTTCACACATGGGGTATATTGAGTGCTTGTTTACACTTTAAAGACCTTTACAGGATGTAAGAAACTAATACCAGTTTTGCATTATCAGCATGTCATGACTTGTAGGGATAGTGGTAGTTCATAGAGCGCATTTTTGTGAAACAACTGGCCAAACAGAGCCCACAGTGATACACTATGATGACTTATGAGTTGGTGTCCAACAGAAGCTTTTCTGATTTGCTTTACTTTCTATTATCACAACTTCATTCATATTATGAACTTAAATATAAAAGATAAGAGATGAAATAAGATAAGCTTCATTGTCCTCGTAAGCACAAACATGCAACGGAACTGGAAGCACTGCTGAAATCATTCTACTTGAATGAAAGAGTAATAAAATATAAAAATAAAGTAATAAATACATAGCTAATAATCCTAATGACAGCAGCTTTGACAATGGCACAGGTAGAAAGCAGAATAGATGATATCTAGAGGTATTTTAGCTATTGCACTTGTTCAGTGAATGCTTAGAGTTTAATTTGGGTGTTGAATAGCCTGATGGCCCAAGAAGCTATTCTTTAGTCTTCTGGTACTGCTTTTAGAAGGTGGCAAACTAAAGAGTTGATGGCCAGGGTGAGAGTGAACCTCTTAAACATACAGATTGACAACTCTTGTCCTTTGTACAATGAAGAATGGTGCAGCAGAAAAACATAAATTTCATCATTTGATGCATATAATAGTCTGGTTAGGTGCAACTTTAAGAAAAAGATTAGTGCTTATGTTGGGGCATGACTTTGCCTCATGGGCATACTGGTATAATTCCAGTTCACCTGAACGGTACAGTATGGCCTTGGAGGTCCAGGACTGTTTCTGTTTGGCTTGTTCAGCTGAATTTTATCTGCTCCTCTGTCCCATAAAACCTTCCTATTGACAGGCAGCTCCCCATCGACTCTCCCTCCCTCCTCCATATCCAGCCCACATTTTTCTTCCCTATGAGTATTAGTTTATTGAATAAGTGGCATCTGTTTTCCTGGCCCCGTCACCGTAAGGCGAGGTATTTCTCAGTGACGCACAGCGCTGATTTATACGCCGCTCTGACTCTCCCCACAAAAATAAAGCTAAGCAAAAAATTTCCAATACATCCTGTGTCCCCCTTTTGCACACACATACACACACTCCACGCATGCTGTATATAATTAACTTGGCAGATGTTATACACACTCAAACACTTTTACACACTCTTCACTCTTATCCCCAAACTCCCACTTTCTGTCACACACAAATAGTGCCATGATGGAACAATGAGAGTCATAAATCACAGCAAACGCATCAGATTTACTGGCTTCCTCTGGGAAAACAGCAACAACTATCTGACACTTTGTCACTTTAAGGGTCATATTTTTTTCTTTTTATACAAAGTATTGTACACTATAATACAAAAGACATTGATGTGGTGAAGTGTCATCTTTGTGCCAAAAAAGTATTTCTTTTCAAGCTGCCAGTAGGTACAGACCAAAATTTCGAAGCCAAATTCTTGACTGAAAATGGCGTTTCTGGACATATGAGCACTTGGCACTTGCTACCTATGTTGATTATACACGTTATCTCTAGATCGTGCTTTGTTTACAGTTAAAATCTTCGCCTTTATTCATTTAAAACTCATTTTAAATTATGCCGAAGTCCTTCTACCTTCTTTAAGGGCTTTGGTACAACACAGTTGCTTACAATGTTGATTGTAAGCTATCAAAAGATTTTGATCCCCTGAGGTTTCAGACATAAAGAAAAGTATTTGGAGTCATTCTCAAACCAACACTGTGTCCCTTTCGTGTCAGTTTATCCTGCATTACAACAGCCTTGAGGCAAACTGTCAAGCACCTAAAACCACTGTGTCTTACCGGTCAGGATTTTGCGGACAGACATGCATCTGGAGCAGGATTCTCTGGGTGAAGGTCTTGAAGCACTGGCCACATTTCCACAGGTGCCAGTCGCTGAACTCACTGCTAAGCTGGCTGGTGGATGTGGGACTTGCCAGGACTCTCTGGTTCTTTGACCCCAACTGGCCAAAACTGGAGTCCGACTGAACCCCAACCTTATCCAACAAGGAGAAACTCCGAGGGCAGGGGGAGTGGGGGAAGACCATGGAGCGCATGAGGGTGGAGGACGGAGTGGAGGACGATGAAGAGGATGAGGAAGAGGGTTTGCCGTTTTTGCTGAAGGACTGGAGGGATTCCTGCCTCGTCATGGCCTCCACCACTGTGGCTGGGACATTTACTGGACACAAGAAAAACAGAAATGATTTGGTTTTAAGTAGAAAAAAGAGAGTCCAACAACTGCCAACAACTGAGGAAAATGATGCAAGTTAATGTTGATGAAGATGTTCTTTAAAATTTTGACTTGGAGGAATAGCTGGAAGGCACTCAGAAGACTAGCAATGCTAACATGGACTGTTAAAGTTTTCAAAACTGCAGCACAGGATCAAACAAGGGTGCAAGACTGGAAAAATATTCTTGGCCTGAACACAAACAAATGGATGAAACCATTTATTCTTTCAGGTGGCCCTTAATGATATCTGTCCCTATAGGTTGGATTGTTGTCAGTGGGCTGGGCTTAATAGATAAAAGTATGGTTTAGCTGTTTTGATGGGAGGAAAGGAAAGGAAAGCCAGAACTTTGTCCTAACTGAGACCAGAGCTGGCTGACCAGCCCGGGGCAAACTGCAGCTCCTGGTATCAATGAATGGAATTATGGGAATTATGTTAGTACAGCAACTCACTGTTTTCCTCTCAGGGAAGACAGAAAGCTGCAAAAGCTATGTTTCAGGGTCAAAAAATGGACCTCCAGCATGATGCTACTACAGATGAGTTTTAATTTACAGAACTACTAACATTTCTACTTTAAACTTTGCTTTCATTCCAGAAACTCAAACATTCTAAAATGTTCCCTTCACTAGTTCACTGTTAAATCCAGAATTAAATTTACCAGTCCTTTTCATATAAAAAGTTAGCCCCCATCATATCTGAAAGATCTCATAGTCTTATACTGTCCCAATAAAGCATTTTGTTCTCAGACTGCAGCCTTACTTTTGGTACCTAGAGTTTTTAATAGAAGAATGCGACAACAAGCTATCATGAAGTTCTCCCACAGAACCATCTCCAAGTTTAAATTTAGGAGACAGACACCTTCTTTACTTTAGAGATTATACTCAAAACTTTCCTTTTTAAGAAGGCTTACTGTTAGTGCTGGTTGAGTTGATATTGAAGCATCCTTTAGTTGTGCTCCTATAGACTCAAACTGCTGTGGGACTTCCCATAATACACACCCTTACTTTTTCACTGCGCCTACAGAGCAGAGGTGAGCAACTTATTTATTGTTTTATAGAATTCAATTCAATTCAATTCAATTTTATTTATATAGCGCCAAATCACAACAAAAGTCGCCTCAAGGTGTAGAAACCCACACAGATTTAGATAAAATAAGCAAAGGGCCCTAGAGTGATATTGCTAGCACTAGCATGCTAATAATTGCAACCATGGTTGCAGGTTACGATGAAAATAATACATTCTATGCAAATGTTGGCATTTTTTGGTTACACTACATAAGTGTGTCACTTGAATTGAGATTCCTTACTATAACAAGGCCTCTTCTTGATTTTGTGGGGTTTGATGGTTTTACCTTTACCTTATGCTGGTCAGATTGACCAGACTCGTGGGCCAGTTCTGGTCATTGGAGCTTTTTTTCTGATGTGGTTGGGCCCTTATGTTACAGTACAAAATGACTGCTTTGACATGACTGCTATATGGTGCTATATAAATAACACTGAATTGAATTGAATATAGTAAGTGCTTCAGAGAAAAAAAATGAACACAGGAGCTGGCATAATAAATCCATTAGACCGATAGGAAAAACAGATTCTGGATAAAGTGTTGCTGGTGAATACAACAGTCAACTACAATGAGATTAACAGGAAAAAACACATTATATAAAAGTGTGTAAATTAGATTTTGGTTGATGCCAGCTGTCCTCACTTGACCCAGAAGTCAGCTGTGTTCTGTTTTGTGGTCAGACCAACTGACAGACCTGGAGTCCATAACCCTTCATCATGTTTGAAATTGCATTAAGAGGGTTGATTTACTTTAACTCACTGTGGAGGGTTTTGCTTTTCATTCTGTAAACTGGTTTGCTTGGGAAAACTTGGCATGCAGACTGGGAGGAAGGAAAACTATTGCACAAGTTATTTTACATCCTTAAACTTAACCAGACAAACCAGTAGATGCTCATAACGTGTTATTTAAGAAGACAAATAGCTTATTTTGTGACTTCTTTAGTTAGACTCATTTGGGTAATTTGTGAGTCCATTTTGTTATTATTATTCTTGGGTACATTTTTCCTTCTCTACCCACGCACTAATGCATAAACAACACTTCTGGCTTTCTTAGTTTTTCTGAATTTCTTCGCATCATTTCGATTGCATCATTTTACATGAGTAAACACCCCTCTCTCTGAGATCTGCTGCTTCAGTCGTCATAACCATTTTCCATCCCTCATCAGCTCACCTCTGCCATCAGGCCACCAGGCTCGATTGATCCTCTAATAACCTGATGAGGAGATAATTACACCATTTGTAAGTTGCCCGACGGTGTTATTGACGCCCGCGTTATACGCCGCTCGCCCACACTTAATTCATTTTGCAACCAACATTGCATATACAAAAAATGCAGGTCAATACGGTTTGGATTGCGTATGAAATGCATCATCAAAATGAGAGAATTATGCAGATGCAGCTGGCAACATTGCAGAGTTTGTATTTTCTTTCTTTATGAGGGGTGTGTTCTCTCCTACATGCCCCTCATAAAGATACAAATGGAGGAGATGCTGGTCTTCATCGCACAGAACAGAGTTTTAAAAGCAACTTCTGACACCTAAACTTGGAGTTTCATCTTCCTCTGTATTGTCTGCCTATCCATCAGTTCTGTGTATTCATTCAAACATTTTTCCATGTCATCTTCATTACGAGAATCATCTGAGGCCCTCTCCTCATCCTGTCCTCTTTTCCCTTTTTGTATCTCTCTCTTTGTCATTCAGTTTTACAATATATATGTTACAGCCATCAAAATGTATTATATCTAGAAGTTCCCCAAAAATCAAAACTAAAAATAAAAATCATGAGACTCATCTGTCAAAGGAGTTGGTGTTATCTGTTTGTAAATGTAAATGCAATCTATTTGTGGAACTATGGTGCTTAACAGTGATATAGTTGCTCTATTAAAGGATGAACTGATGTGTTCATATTCTTAGATAACAAATTAGACCACCTTATTTTGCAAACCTTCACCAGTGTATTTGAGATGGATTCCAGTCACTCCAAGTAAGAGCCCAATTGTTTGGAGACAATATCCCTTCCACCAAGGGCCTATCCAATTACCATACGTTAAGCTTGTTCCACGATCAACCTTCGGGTCACCAGAACTACTTGCTCTTGGTAATTGGCAACAACAACAGCAAAAAAAAGTAAGAACACTGAGCAACCATTGTTGATTGTGATCAAACTATGAAAGGACTCTTTATTTTGATCACAAGAGTTTCACTTCCTGCAGACCAGTTAGATTGTCCAAGTTGTCCAGCACCTCCAGGACGGCATAATTACAGCCAACATCATATGTGCCATTGTAAGTAGGTATGCTGTGTCTCTCAGCATAGTGTCAAGACTTAGGAGGATTGACAACAAATTGCAGTCAATCTGTCTGTATTAATCAGTGGAAGGACAATTATTTATTTATTATTTATTAAACTTTCACCAATGTATTTGAGTGTAAATACAGTCAAGTCTGAGTCCGACTGTCATTGTTTGGGGACAGGCTGCCTGCTATCTGCGAGGCATCTGAGAAGGATTGCACTCCACAGACCATTGCCCTCTCCTTATCCGTCTCAACTGACTTTTCTCTGGTTTTGTTTTTTAATCAGTGTCCTTCTCATGACTAGTAACATGAGACAGTGACTGGAGGCCATTCAGGCCCTCCAATAGTTAAGCTCCTCCAGGGTAACCACACATGCTGCCACAAGAAGATATGTTATGTCTCCCAGCATAGTCTACAGAATGAGGAGATACCAGGAGATGGACTGTCAACATGTGGATAGTTGGACAGGGCCATAGAATTGAATATTCTCAGCAGAAGGACAGTTATCTGTTCCTTTGTGCAAGGAGGAACAGGCGGAGCACTGTTACAGCCCTACAAAATGACCTCTGGCAGGCTACTTGACTTCATTAGGGTGTCATGAGAGACCAACATCCACGGATTTACATGAAATAAGTTAAAAATAATAAGAATATGCTTCAGTCTTGTACATTTATATCATACTGAATTAGCAGGAAGTTTGACTCTTGAGAGGCCACCGTTCGTCTGAGAGTGTCTTCCTCTCTTTACAGGAATGAAGTACAGTTCTGATTATGTTGCCAAATCTTTGCTGGGTAATCAATAACCATAACGTTACAGCGATTATAAAGTTTCATAAAATCAATGGAGGCAATTATAAGACTGGTAATAATAATACGTCACATAAAGAAGAGAAGTACGGAGGAGTTTACTGCAGAGGTGGACAAAATCAAAATCATTCTTCCCTCTCCTTTCTTTTCTTCAATCTTTTGCTTCTTTGACTCCTCCACTTTCCCTCTCATTTCATCCATTTTCCTGTTTTTTCCCATCATTTCTCACAGTTCTAGAGGATAAAGGGAAGTTGAAAAAACTAAAAGAGCAGGAGTAAAGAAAAGAAAGATAAAGCAGTCTTTCTGAGATGTTTCCTCGTCTGCTGGTGCATATGTTGCTGTGGAGCGTCAAGCCGACAGGCTGTGATTGGATGGAACATGTATGAGTAAACAACCATGGGGTGTGTGTGTTTTCTTTGTTGTGTGGTTTGGATCTTGATTCATCTTTAATGTGTCTGTGAGTGCTTGAGCTCTGCACATAAGCAAGAGTATAGAGAAATGTGTGTTTAATGTTATGTGCGTGTTTCCTGTTGTTTGTCGTTTGCCTTTGTGTATATGACTTTACTTTAAGAGGTCCTATGATGTTTTTATTTATTTTCTGTACTACTGTTACATACTGTGGTGAATGCTCATATTTAACATGGCCAGAGTTCCAAATAGTGATCAGTAGCACGTGTAACGCATTGCAAAGTAACACATTACTGTAATCATACTACATTTTACAAAAATTCAGTTAACATACTAAATTCAGAAATCACAATACAGTTAAAATTATGTTATTACTTGATTTA